CCCACACCTCAGTAACCCATGCCTTCTGGAACCAACACTGCGCACCTCTGCAGGGCATTTCATAGGAACTCTTTCCAAGTTGTGGTTTTAAATTAGCTTACCAACTAGGGGTTTCTGTAAGGCTTTTTCATAGAGCCTTCGATGCGTCCAATTTTGGAGCACAAGTGGAAGCCAGGAAACTAGAATGGGGCCTTCCTACCAGGGAAGGGAGAGTAGTAGACTGTAAGTAAAACAGAAAGCAGTGATACAGGACCCTGAGGACTGAGTATCTGAAGCAGGGCTGGGTGTGAGAGCAGGGATGGGGAAGTCACAGTGAAGAGGAGAGCTAACCCAACTGGAGGTGACGTCCTGCTATCTCACAACCCAAATTAAAGGAAACTTTTTATTTTTAAACTTAAAAAAAAAAAAACAAACTGAATTTGCCAGGTGGTGGTGGCGCACGCCTTTAATCCCAGCACTAGGGAGGCAGAGGCAGGTGGATCTCTGTGAGTTCTTGGCCAGCCTGGTCTATAAGAGCTATTTCCAGGACAGGCTCCAAAGCTACAGAGAAACCCTGTCTCAAAAAAAAAAAAATTAAAAAAAACCTGAACTTTTTTTCATACAGTGTATTTGATCATGATTTTCTTGTCCCTCAGCTCCTTCTAAGTTCTCTCCCTCTCCACCTCCCTAGCCCCTAACTTTATGTTCTTTTATTCTCTCTCTTAAAAGAAAACAAACAAAACAAAGCAGACAAGAGTGATTCGTATCCCTGAGACTCCATTGGAGAATGGTTATCAATTGGGCATAGCTGGGTTATGGATGTGGGTTTGTGTCCACATCTGCTCTCAGCTCTGGGACCCACAGAGCCATACAGGCCCTGTGCATGCTGTCTCCGTCTCTGTGAATTCATGCGTGTGCCGGTCCTGCAGAGCCAGGCCCCTTGCTCAGCAGCACATGACCAACACTAAAGAACTCAGGAGGGGCTGGAGAGATGGCTCAGCGGTTAAGAGCATTGCCTGCTCTTCCAAAGGTCCTGAGTTCAATTCCCAGCAACCACATGGTGGCTCACAACCATCTGTAATGAGGTCTGGTGCCCTCTTCTGGCCTGCAGGAATACATGCAGACAAAATATTGCATACATAATAAGTAAATATTTTAAAAAAAAAACTCATGACATCTTTGTACATTCTTTGCCTTATAAATTTTGACAGGCATTTTCCCCTTTGCTTTCTTTTTTCTTACTTATAAGTCCTTTGCATAGACATTACAGCTTTCAGTTTTGTGTTTTTAGGGGATTCTTCTGCATATGAACATGCGTGTCTCTGTGTCCACATACGTCTCTTCTGCTTTTCCTGTGACCCGTTTTCTTCTCTTTGGTTTTTTTCTAGTCCAGTTTGTTTGTTTTTTCTTTTATCTTGTGTTATTATTATTCTTTAGATGCCCGTTTTCTAACGTGAGATAGAAAGGGTGTAGAATCTGTTGGGAAGGAAGATGGGGGATGTTTTTGGTAGTTGGGGGAGGGGAGACCATGGCTAGAATACATTGTATGGAAAAATATTTTCAACAAAAGAAAGAAAAGAGAACACACAAACAAAGGAAACACACATACATACACTATGAAAATGAATACAAAATAAAATAACAAAATTAAGAAACATTACAAAAATAGCCCCACAGAAAAACACAAATGAAATTTAAATAAACAAGCAAAAGAACAATAAGATTAAAAAAAAACTGCCAAAAAAAAAAGCAAAAATGAGATATAGTCTACAAAAACACCATTGTTTGTTTCATGTTAGCCAGCCACTCCTGGTGTGGAGTCTGCCCTAAAGTGTGGTTAATCTAGCCCGAGTTAGGGTTTCTGCTGCTGGGAAGAGACACTATGACATCAGCCACCTTACAAAGGAAAACATTTAATTGGGGCTGGCTTACAGTTCAGAGGTTTAGTCTATTGCTGTCATAGCAGGAAGCATGATGGCATGCAGACATGGTGCTGGAGAAGGAGCCAAGAGTTGTACGTCTGGATCTCTGAGTCAGCAGACAGGAGAGAGAGAGAGAGAGAGAGAGAGAGAGAGAGAGAGAGAGAGAGAGCGCCAGCCACTGGGCCTGACTTAAGCTCCTGAAACCTCAAGTCCACCCCAGGGACATACTTCCTCCAATAAGGCCAAATCTACCCCAATAAGGCTATGAGTCCTAATCTTTTCAAATAATGCCACTACCTGTAAGCCTATGGGGGCCATTTTCATCCCAGCTACTACACCCAGTGCGACTTCATTGGTAAAAGTAACTTTTAAAGGGTCTTTTCTTTAAAGCATTGAAGCAACTGACTGTCCACAACAGAGCCCTTCTTGTGATCCCAGTAAAGAACTGGGACAGTTGGTGGCTTTTAGGGGAGAGAAAGTTGAGAAATACTGGATTTGATCCATCTTTTTGATAAAGGCCATTTTGACGGGTAGAGCCTGGCGTCCTGTTTGTTTGCCTTTGCTATTTCTGATGGATTAGTGGTGTGGAATACCTACTGAGCTGAGCCGTGGCATGTCTGCTTTCAAGAAATGTCCACTCCCTTTCCACTGTGTGAATATGTGTATTTGCTTTCCTATTATTGACTTGTTTGAGTCCCTTACATATTTTTGGATATTTACCTCTCATCAGATATGTTTTATAAATATTTTCTCCCATTCCATTGTTTTTTATAAGCATCTCTTTTTGGGAAGATGATTCTTTCTCTGAACTGTTTTTATACTGATAGATGAAGTCTTCATGTACACACAAAACTATTTCTGTATATTTTTGTATTCTGTTCTTTTTGTCATTTTCTATAAATACAAGCTAGCTTAATTTAGTTGGAAATGTCACTCATATATTCTGTATCCTTGGCAAAAGTTTGCTACATTTTCTGCCAGTTGCTGAGAGTATGCTCAGACTCCATGTATGCTTATGGATATTCTTACTTCTTCCAGCTCTATGTATGAGCATCATGTATCATGAGCTTCATGTGTCTTAGAGATCTGTTGGGATATGCATGCACATTTGTGCATACTTTGGTAACTTAGGGAATCTGACCTTTCAAAACTTAGTAGTATTCCCCTACTGATTTTCTGAGATTCACTTTTATGTAAATGTAGGTGTTTTCTTTCATTAAAGCTCTGCATATATGTTTTATTGGTCATTTTATTATTTTGACCTACATTTCCCTTTATCCATAAATGGATTTTGTTTATAGTATGCAGTTTAATCCTGGTGTTATGATCCAATACAATGAATGAATGAGGTTTTAATTGTTATATTTAGTTTAAATTTAGTGTAATTATTTCTACTGAATTTCAACCCACTACATTATAGCTATTTTATTTGTTGAGTCCCTTGGGTTTTTCCCCTTACTTTGCATTTAATTTTGAGTTTTGCATTTATATATTATTAAATTATTATAGTTTTATTTTAAATAATTATTTTAGTCATTGACCTAGGTTATATAGCACACACATTTAATTAATTAGAATCTACCTTTTAAAAATATAATACATAGCACAGAATATGACCCAACTTTATTTTATCTTCACTTATTTCTCCTCTAGAACTCCTTGCATGTATGTATGGTCTCTTAACATCTTTTAAAAATGCAGTAAGACTTAATGTAACTGCTTTGGTGCTCCAGGCCTAACTTCTGTCCGTTGAAAGTTAATTGTACTCAGGCACCTGGCATGTGTTTATTACAATTCTCTGTGCATATGTAGAGTTACAGGACCGTGAGCTGAATATGTCATCAGAAGTCTGTTGTGGAATATTATTTTAAGATGTGTTACATTTGTTTAAGCTGTGGAACATTTGTTTTAGTGATGCGAAGATGTGTTGCGTTCTTTCATATTGCATTTGTTTAACTCTGTGAAGCTGTGTTGCTTTGCCTGCCTAAAACACCTGATTGGTCTAATAAAGAGCTGAACAGTCAATAGCTAGGCTGGAGAGAGAAATAGGTGGGGCTGTCCGGCAGAGAGAATAAATAGGAGGAGAAAGCTGGGATGGGAAGATCAAGAAGTGAAAGAAGGAGAGGACGACTCCATGGGCCAGCCACCAAGCTACACAGCCAGCCATGGAGTAAGAAGTAAAGAAAAGGCATGTAGGAACAGAGAAAGATAAAAGCCCAGAGGCAAAAGATAGATGGGATAATTTACGAAAAGCTGGGTAAAAACAAGTCAAGCTAAGGCTGGGCATTCATAATAAAGAAAAGGCCTCCATGTGACTATCTGGAAGCTGGGTGTTGGGCCCCCAAAAGAGTAAAGAGTAAAAAGCAACCAACTACAGAAGTCCTTCTGCTTGGTCTTCAGAGTCTAAAAGGCTTAATTCAAACTGATCTTACTTTAAGGCATTCCCGTAAGTTCTTTCTCAAAGTTGAAACTTAAACCACTGTGGCCTGTCATGCCCTCCATGTCTCTGTTTTCTTGCTCTCTTGCTTTGTGTGTGGTGTGGGGACGTTCAGACCATGATGATCTCTGTGAAGAACTCCCCTTGATCTCCACACACAGATGGAACTCCAAGCAATCCCTTCTTAGCTCATTCTCCTCAGCAGAATACAAAAGGGCGGTGGGCACTTCCTGAGCTCCTTTAAGGACTTGAAGAAGCCCAGACTGTTCAGTCACTCACGAGAACGCTGAGCTCAGAACCCTCCCCCTGAAGCTTTCTGGTTTATTTCATTCAAATCATGGACTCTTAGGAACCCTGGGACTCCAATGTTTGGCTGTTCTTGAAAAAATATTATTTTCCCTACGACTTGATTTTCTTAAGAGCCCATCAAATGCAATGACCCTGGGTATGATTTTGGCAGCAGCAAGCAAAGCCAGTAAAAATCTTAGAATTTTCTGAGAGATGTCAGTTGTGAGGAAAGAAAGGCCCGTGGCATCTTGGACTAGTATCTAGTTATGAACCCTTGGTAATCATGAGCAAACCTGCAAGAGACACTTTCAAGATTTCCTCTTTAAGTCATGTCCACAGCATAACATTTTCTTTTTGTCTTTTTCCCCCTCAAGGGGTGCTACATCCATTGTGTACAGATGCAAACAGAAGGGGACCCAGAAGCCCTATGCTCTCAAAGTGTTAAAGAAAACAGTAAGTTTATTTCATTATATAATAGTATCTCTGAGAGAATTGAGATGCAAGACATCTGACTCAAAAATCAAAGTGATCACGGAGAAGGCAATTGCTGTCTGATGGAAGCCACGTGAGAGAGACACTGGTTCTTAAACTGGATTTGTGGAAAGGAGGATTGCAAGGAAAAGCATTGGAGCAGGGAAGGAAGTATTGTATTCAGGTGTGCTCATGGGTATATGTGTGTATCTATGGAGTGAGGGCGCCAGATTGCATTTTAATATGCCAGTTCTCTAGTATTAGCACACTAGAGAAGCCTGTGACTTAGAAGAAGATGAAGTGGAACTTGAATGTCTGTGTTTTGAGAGGAATCATCAGCTTCTAATCTGCCTAGGCTTTCTAAGGGTGGGTGTGTTGTAGACGTGCAACTCGACAAATGTTGCTGCTTCCCAGGCTAGACCTTCAAATTTAGACAAGAAGGGAAGCTTTTGTTCTAGAATTTTGCTCCTTTTGCCGAAGCTCATATAGGAGCTAGACAAATGTCCGCCCACATGTGTCTAAGGTTCCTTTGTAACGCTAATGCGAAGACAGAAAGCCTGTGAGGTCACTTGTTGGGTGGTGTCCCTCTGTGACACTCTTTCAGCCTTATAGTTCTTTCTGTTCTTCTCTGTTTATGGGTTATATTCTGCTCATAAAACTACAAAAAGGCAAGACACACTTCATAGCATACTGTTCCTTTGTCAAATTTTATATGAACAGATATGGGAGATGTGTGGACTTCTGAAAACCCGGTTGCAAAGTGTCCCAGAGAAAGATGTGTCAGGCCTTTCAGTGGCAAGGGAGAGGAGGCTTCCTTCTCCAAAAGGCTGCTTGTTTCTCCAGCTGTTATGTGCTGCCCAGGGCAGGGGCATCTACAGTGTCAGGAAGGACGAACTTAACAGTCCAGGATTTTAGCCAACCAGAAACAAAATGACATTCTTACATAGTCTGTTAGAGTCCTAAGCTGTGCAAAAAAAACCAAACAACAACCCCACAGTTAAATTAGAGTAGATAACAATTTAAGTGGCAATTAATGCCTATAAATCTCACACATTAATTTTTTTTGTCATAAAAATCTTCTTAAGTCAATCTCAAATTACAGGGATATTTTAATTAACATTTCTGACTTTTTCTATATCAATTTTTATCATAAAATTTCCTGAACTAAGTATTACTTAAAATTTTTGTAAATATAATTTCCTTTCAAATATCCAATTTTTAAGGAAAGAAAGTAAGTGGTTTTAGTAGTAATCTTACATGTTATAGTTAGAGTTGGTGGCTATGTATTTTCTTACTGGTTAGAATGTTACTAAATTGCCAAGTTATTTCCTTTTTCTTATTTTTACGATTGAGGAAATTTTGAAAAGGGGTGGATAGTATGAAATTCTAGGAAACGACCATTTAAAAATATTTTGTGTGAAGCTGGACATGGTGGTGCACCCCAACACTTAATTTACAGAGTGGGGGTGGTCGCAAGTCAGGCCAGAACGGGCTGCACACTTGCCTGAGATCTGAGAGGTGGGCGGATCTTCCCAAAAGCCCCCCGAGAGCCCGTGGATGGGAACCATGTGTCAGGCGGAGCTGTGAGGCAGATGATGTCAAACACAGTTAGTTTCTGCCGTGCCAAATGGAACGAGGGAAAGACCCCTGGAGGAGCCTTGGCACTGACCGTGACTTAGATGGAATCTTCAGCTTTGTCATTTAGGATTAAACCATGCTTGGAGACGTGTAAATGAGAGAAATAGCAGGCAAAGGCACGAAGAACAAATTGCCTCCAGTGTTTAGTTTCATATAGGTCACGGAGATAGAAGCGTCCCTTTCTAAGGGAAATGAATGGGTTCTAAGGCTCTGTTTGCAGTGCGAAATAATGCAGAGGAAATATTTTCTTAGAACAGTCAGCAAAGGTTTTGTACCTGAGGACAAATAAGATCAGGTTATTCAGAAAGGTTGACTTATTTATGTAATTTCTTATGTCAGGCCACATAAAATTGCCTCAATTAAACAGTTTCTGACCTATAGTTTTGTGTGATTCAGCTAAGAACTATGGTACCACATATAACCTCATTGAATACTTCCTAATATTTTCATATAATGATTAGGCATAAACTTAGGGGGCCTTGAACTTAGTCTGCCTAAAACTGCATCATTTATCTTCCTATCTATCTATCTATCTATCTATCTATCTATCTATCATCTATCTATCATTTATCTATCTATCTATCTCTATCTATCTATCTATCATTTATCTATCATTTATCTATCTCTATCTATCTATCATTTATCTATCATCATTATTATTATCTATCTATCATTTATCTATCATCTATCTATCTTCTCTATCTATCTATCTATCTATCTATCATCTATCTACTATCATCCATCTATGAGTCCATCCATCCATCCATCCATCCACCCACTCACCCACCTACTCTTTCATAATAGAGATAGTGAAACAACTACCAAAATTTGGTGAATATAAATTCATTTTTCTTAGGCCAGGCAGTGATGGTGCACACCTTTAATGCCAGCATTTGGGAGGCAGAGATAGGTGAATCTCTGTAAGTTCGAGGCCAGCCTGGTCTACAAGAGCTAGTTTCAGGGCAGGCTCCAAAACTACAGAGAAACCCAGCCTCGGAAAACCAAAATAAATAAATAAATAAATAAATTTTCTTCAAATATGGAAACTAGATTTTCAAAGCCAAAGTTGTCAGAGATAGTTTTCTCTGAGGCCCTGACTGAGAATCTTCTCCATGCCTCATGCATCTTGCCAGGCTTCTAGAGACAGTAATCCATCCTTGGTGTGCCTCGACTTATAGGTCATCCTTCCAGTTTCTGACCTGATCAGCAAATGCTTGGTTCTCCCAGAGGAATATATACTAAAGCATTGACTCTTATGGGAAATTTCATGTGCTGCTGGTGGCTGATAATCCAAACAGAACAGAGTTAGAACTGACGATAACCACACAATAGATTCTCATGTTTAGACAAATATAATTTTTTCCTAATAAAATATCCTTGTGGGAAATTAGCATGTAATTATATTAAGAAAAACATCTAACTTAACATATATTTTATATGTATCTGAAGCACCATGTACTTTCTATGTCCATTACTAAATTTCAAAGAATTAAAATACATAGAACACATATTTATTAGTGCCACGGTGACCTTAATTTATGTACATGTTAAACAACAAAAAGGTGTGTGAGTTTATAGTGTATGAGAAGAGAGAAGGAAGAAACTCTGGAGCAAAGCATCATTGACTGTTTTCTGTATTGAAAACCACCTGGGCATTTCCGGTAGTCATGGTCATTTTTCTCATGATGGAGTTATAGCATTAATAGAATAAACAGGAGGAGAAAAGGAGTTGGGGTTCTTTTCTGTTTATATATCCCCCATCACCACACACACTTAGTACTGAACATGCTGTGGGGAGGAAGTCCCTTCATTCTGCATGGCTATGACCTTGTTTTTAACCTTTTATTTTGAAGCAGTCTTAGACTCACTGAAAATACCACTTTGCTTCTCATACACACCCCATTGTCTCAGACGTAAGAGCTAACTGGCTTGCAGTTACCATTGAGGTTTTTCCGTGGACTTTGTAAGTCATAAATCAAATATGAAGCAAGAATCTCTCACTGGTAGCAGATGTCTTTACGTTTCTCGACACTTCCTTGCTTTGCAGGCTGTGCAGATACGATTATATTTTGCTTTTCTCTTTGTGTCTGCCAAATAAATTATATGTAAATAGAGACTGAGGTTTGTTTCCTGACCACACCCAAATAATCACACAGAAACTATGTTAATTGCAACATTGTTTGGCCAATAACTCAGGCATATTTCTAGCTAGCTCTTATATCTTAAATTAACCTATTTCTTTTATTTTGTATTTTACCACTAGTCTCATGGTTTGTTACCTCTTGATCCTTGTGTCCCTTTGACTCCGCCTACTCTCTCTATATATATCTCTGTTAGGATTTCCTGCCTGGTTTTACTCTGATAAGCCATTGGCCAACACAGCTTTATTCATTATCCAATAAAAGCAATACATATACAGTAGGACATCCCACATTATAAATATCCTTTGCAACAATAGCAAAGTCACACTCAAGATTTTATGAAAGCAAAGAGATAAATTCAAGTATCAAAATTTGAATATATTGTTAAGTGTAGCGTATTCATCATGGACTGAGTTTTGCTAGCTTAAATTGAATCTCCACTTTCAAATAATAGCACGGGGGCAATGGAATTGTATTTCAGGGGTGCTCCATGTATATGAAAGTTTTATCCTTTAAAAAACATATCTAGGGGGGGCTGGAGAGATGGCTCAGTGGTTAAGAGCATTGCCTGCTCTTCCAAAGGTCATGAGTTCAATTCCCAGCAACCACATGGTGGCTCACAACCATCTGTAATGAGGTTTGGTCTCTTCTTGCAGACACACACACAGACAGAATATTGTACGCATAATAAATAAATATTAAAAAAACATCTAGGGATCTATATGATTCTGTAATGTGTGGCTTGTTTTCAAAATAAATAGCTTGATTATTTAAGAAATTTATGTTCCCTGATGATTTATACTGTCTCTGGAAATTTGGAGACTGATAAGAAAAATTCTAGAAGGGAGATAAAATTTCCAGCTGTGTGGCTCAGCATCTGGGAAGGTTATATTCTTTTAACTGTAAAATCTTTCACTAAATAGCCAGTATCAAGTCTGAGAGTGTGTCTTAGTGTAGGTATTCGGAATACATGGTGTTTTGACTCTCATGAAAAACAGTTATGCAAATGTGTCTGATCATAGACTCCAGAGATAGAGACACTGTCTTTCATCTCTTCACTATATTACTATCTATGTGACTGTTCGTGTCATAAACTACTGCTCAATCTGTCTTTCAGCTGTAAAGTGGGCTTAGGAGCATCTAGCTCACAGTAATCTAGGGAAGATTGAAGTGAGATTTCCCATATTAAATATTTCCCAGCAC